AGGCATGAGCCACCGCACCTGGCCCATGCTCTCTTTTACACACATGCAGACCACATCCTTTCTCTCTCACCAGATATACCCCCCCCACACACACACTCTACTAAGATATACTTTCACTTTTTTTTTGAGACGGAATTTTCACTGTGCTGCCCAGGCTGCAGTGCAATGGCACGATCTCAGCTCACTGCAACCTCCACCTCCTGGATTCAAGCAATTCTCTTGCCTCAGCCTCTCGAGTAGTTGGGATTACAGGTGCGTGCCACCACACCCAGCTAATTTTTGTATTTTCAGTAGAGATGGGGTTTCACCACGCTGCCCAGGCTGGTCTCAAACTCCTGACCTCAGGTGATCCGCCCGCCTCAGCCTCCTAAAGTGCTGGGATTACAGGCGTGAGTCACCGCACCCGGCACTTTCAGTTTTATATATACACATTAACATCTAGATTTCTGCCTGTATGGCATAATTTGGGTCCTGCCAGTGAAAACTATTTACCAACCCTATATACCATACAATGCCACTCTACTCTGGGCCTGTGATGGTCGGGGGGATGAGAAGGGAGGTCTTTGTGTTTCAAGGAAGCTTTTTCTTAACAGGCCTCTTTTCCCCAGTAGGACATCGGCCACAATTGGTTCCCACTTCTTGAGTGTGAAAAATGACAGGAATTATCCTGAGACCCTCCGCAAAAGCCCATCACATGGTCAAGGCCAGAGAAGCCCCAGAATGGGGGTCACAGGCTGCTCAGGTGTCATAGCTTGCCAATCTGCAAGATGTCTACACACTTACAGACAGACATGGTCCTGCAGGGTGCCACTGACTCTCAGTCATACACAAAAATATATACTGAGATACACAGACTTGTAAGTATCCTCTGTTTTCATCCCCTTACCAATAAGGCCCAATCTGCACAGGACTGAGGCCAAGTATCTCTCTGTCACACCAACTGACAGGCACATGCACAAATACACTCATTCATACACATGGACACACTCACACTGTAGTCACATGTGTACATCCGTTTACTCTTAAATATACACATGCATGCATGACATACATTCACATGACATAATGCCCACGAATGACATACATTCACTCACAGTGGGGTACACACAGGCATACTTTCACATGTCCACAGGCAGACTTTGTATCACACCCAAGGAGATGATGAAAACACATGGACACAGAGAGGCAAGCTCCCAAATGTGTGCACCCCCCCCCAGACATGACCACATATATTTACACACACACACCTGTGTGGGTGTACTCACACACATAAACACCTAGATATGCACATGCTTGTAAATGACATTATGTATAGATATGCAGATATTCCTAACACAGACTTGTGCACACAACTGGGCATGTTCACATGCACATAGACTTGTTCATTAATTCATTCCCATGTGCATAGACTCAGACATGGAAATACAAATGTATTCACAAAACACACTCACACTAGCACAGCCAGATATGTACACCATGTATATTCCTACATGTTCATACACCCATATGAGAAGTACACAATACAGAGGAATCATTTACACCTACATTCTCACAGATGGACTTGGACACAAAGGTATATTCACATGCATACACGTATGGAAGTACACTCACATACACACAACTGTACATCCACACAAAAAAGACTAATCCACACTCATCACAGACACACATATTCTCACACACACACACACACACACTTTAATACACTTACAGGCTTAGAGTGGCATGCGTGCACATTTCCTTACATTGTTCCAGAACAAAGATGTATAAACACAAATGTATAGATGCAAATAATTAGAACTGTACAAACTGGCACGTTCACACATTGTATGTGTGTATGCCTGTACATTCAGACAGGCATACACACAGGCAAATTCACGCACACACACAGATGTGTATGAACAGGCAAGCATATACGGACATGTTCAATGAAACACACACAGCCAGATGTTCACACATACTAGCATATACACCCACATATACACTCACAGTCACTCACAGGCATATTCAAATACACATGCACACTCACATACTCAGAAATTCAGACAAAACACATAATGAGACATGCACACCCAAGTAGCTACTCATGCATGCCATAATCAGACATGTACTCACACATAACAGTGTACACACAAATACAATTAAACATATAGACAGTGCATTAATTCACCTATGCACACAGCCTTTTGTGTGTGTGTGTTTGTGTGCAGACAGGCATACATTCCTCCACACAGCCATACTCACATACATAATCAAATGTGCACATGTAGGCATACCCACAAAATAGATTTTCATTCACACACTCTACCCACACAATTAGTTCTCCTTATACTAGTGTGCCCACCTACACTAACATTTCCCTAATCGGATGTGAACATAAAGGTTTGTCTACAGGTGATATACACTGGAACATGCACACATGGACATCTATATAATCTAAAATGCTGGAGAAGCCACATATAGATATTCACAGAAAGTCACAAGCCTACTCACACAAATGCAGGACAGACACACTCATATATACACACACATACACACCCTCTCATACATGCATGGACATGCACATATATGTCCTTACACTCACAAACACACCCTTTAGATGCACCTACACTCATGATCACACACCAGCATGCACAGTCAGATGCACATGTGAGCACATATACAACTAGGCATTCATCTAATTGGATATGCATACTCAGGAATTCCGAAGCCCACACACCCATCCATACACATACAACCAGACACGTACACTCAAAGAAAAACTGATGCCACACAAATATACAACCAGACATTCAACAGGCCCACTGGCTTAGAGAAAACACACCCAAACTCAGGCTCAAAATCAAACATGCCCATTTGCTCACCCAGACAGACATGCAAAGTCATGCCCACCCCATGGTACACACACACATGCATGCCACACACTCACATGCATGCCATCGCATGGCCTGCTCACACACACAGGTTCACACACAGCCACAGTGCCCATGAGCAGACACACACACAGACTACACACTCAGCCACACATTTTCAGTAGCATATATACAGCCACACTCGGGCCCAGGGGCCTCTGGACCACAGACCAGGTCCGCTCCCACACCAAATGCTTCTTCAGAAAAGTATACTTTATAACTCAAAGCCCCCCTCCCTGCCTCCACAGAGAGGGTCTCCTGGGCCTCAGTCTTTCCCCCTCCTCCTTTTCCTTTGACCACCGACCCCATAGTCTGTATCCCATCATATCTCCACACCCCAAAATCAGCCAGGAGACCTCAGTCTTCCACCACCCCAGGCTCTAAGTGAGCAGCTCCCCGGGACGCATGCCTTACAGGTCTGGCTGCTGCATGGGCCACACCCCAGCCCTACCCAAAGCCCCATGATCTCAGGAGCTTCAGTCTCATCTCCAGGCCCTGCCAACCACTGACCACAGGCTAAACTCTTGCCAAGTCTCCCCTCAACAGGGAGACGCATACATCACCAGGGCCAGGAAGGCTGCAGGCTGCAAGCCAGGCCTCTGCTGGCTCATGGGGGCTCAAGCCTCTGTGTGTGTGTGTGTGTGTGTGTGTGTGTGTGTGTGTGCATGCGTGAACAAACAGGCAAGTGCAGGGAAAGAAGCCTGGAGTGGGGTGGGGGAGGGAGGTTCTGCCCATAACCACTTATCATTCTCTACAAATGAGAAGTATCAACACAGGGCTTTTCCTGCCTCCCTTCCACTCCCCTCTATTTGCCCACTTGCTGCCCTCCCCAGATCCCTACTGAGACCCTGGAGAAGAACGACCAGCCCCTCCTCCAAGTAATCAATAGCACTATTAATCATGAATAATCAGCAACAATGTTGACCATGAGCTTTGCCGACATTGCTTCAGTACCACCTCGATGCGCATCCCTTACTGACATGCACCAACTCATTCAGTCCCTACACATACCCATCAGGGAAGGGTTGCCGGCCTCTTTGACAGATGGGAAAACTGAGGTTCAGTAGGTGGCATGCTTCCACTAAAGTTGCAGAGCTAGTAGTAGGGGGAAGTGTCCCTGGGAGGATCCATGTTCTCCATGTACCAGACTTTCCTGCCCTTCCAGATACATGGACCTCTGGCTACTGGGCACAAGGCCACAAGATCCAGGGGATCCCAGACACAACATGGGCATCTGAAACAGAGACAGAGAGCCTTGTGGTGGAGGCTGGGGCCCACACTGTGGGGACAACCATGTTGTTCCTGGCCCCTGCAGGTTGTCATGGGGCTTGGTCTTTGCCCCCACAGAACCATCAGGCAGCCTACGGCCTGGAAGTGCTCCCCGCCACCACCTCACCTTCCTTCAGCCCTACAGTGGCTTCCTCCCCCTAGCTGGAATCGGCAACATCTTCAGTGGTGAGTGAGCAAAAGTCTGCTACCTGTAGGGAGAGATGGGGCGGGGTGGCGGGGTGGTGGAAGGAAGGAAGGAAAGGAGGAAAGAAGGAGTGGGGGGTGGTCTGGTCTGGGAGCAACTTCTCTGTCATGTCTACCCACCTGCTTGCTACCCAGGTGCACACACACACACACACACACACACACACCCTGCCAGCAGGCCAAGGATCCTGGAGGAGAGTGGAGGAGGAGGGAGAGGAAGAGGAGCAGCCGCAAGAGGCTGAGCCTGCCCAGGGTGCAGGCATTGTGAAGGGAACACAGCCGGGCTCCCAGGCATCCCTTCCACAGCCAGCACACAAGGAAAGATTAACACAGCCTCATGCCCGAACGTGACCATGATGATAAAAACAGACCCTGTGAGGGGAAACAGGTGGTGGTTCCCTTTCTCATGGGACATTTGGGATTAGGGAAGATGGGGAAGATGAGGAGCCTCTAGGCTTGGGTGCCAAGGAGCCCCTGTGATGGAGCAGAAAGAGACTAACAGAGTCAGAGAGAGACAGAGAGCATGGCAGTGATGGAGACTCTGAAATATGTGTGGGGAGACAGAACAGAAGTCCCAGCCCCCCTATCCTTGGTGGAGGGATGCTGACTGCTTACCTGGGCTCTCTCAGGAGGGATGTCTTGGAATCCACGATGGGGGCTCAAGCTGTCTCACCCAGGATAAATCACAGCCCGGGCCACATTGTGGGACCCTCAGTGATCTGGCGGCCAGTGACACTCCCGCTTCTGTTGCCGTGGATACAGCCGGGCTGGTCTAAATCGCAGGCATCAGGGAAAGCAGGCACCGGAGGGGTGCACTGGGCAGGGCTGGGGATGTTGGGGAACACCAGGTGGGCAGCACACAGCCTTGGGGTGCCCAACTAGCTGGCAGGTGGGGGTCCCAGTAGGTGCTTCCTCCACTATACACTCCCACCCCCATCTTCATGCCACTGCCGAGCTGGGAGGGGGGCCAGTGCTGGCCCCTGCTACCCGTCTGCCTGCCTGGCTGCTGGTCCCCTTGTCCCCCCGCCCCCCACCCCCCCTCCGTCTGCCTGCTGCCCGCCGCCTTTTGTCCTCAGAAGACACGGTCCCTGCGGGACCTCTGCCAAGCCTCCAGCAGATGCTCAGGGTCCGGGGCTCCTCCCTGGGAGCACACGGGCCATGGCCTGGGAGAGCCCCAGGTTGTGGGGGCTCTCATCCAGGCTCACCCCGCTCCCCGGGCCTGGCGGGGAGGGGGAAGAGGTGCAGGTCCACAGCCAGAGGCAGCAGCAGAGGTGGTGTTGGGGAGGGGATGGACGCCAGAAAGAGGGGGTGGGGTGGAGAGAGAGGCTGGCCTGATAGCTGTGTCCCGGGTTTTAGATCCGGGTTGAGGAGGGTGGCTCAGAGCATCCGAGGGGGGTCCTCATGCAAAACGAGGGCACCAAGGGCCTGCCGGAGGGACCCTCCTGGCCTGGGAACCACCCCGGTGCACACAAATCCAGGTCCCACGATGCTGAGGACACCCAGCCTGGATAGAGCATCACTGGGAAGTCCGGGGCCCTAAGCTGGACCCCATCAGGCCTGTCCGTCCCCCCTCTCCTCGATTTGCACAGTCCCTGCCTCAGGGGCGGGCGGAGGAGGAGGGAGGCAGGGAGGGAGAGGGAGGGAAGGAGGGAGGCTGAGCAGGCAGGGAGACTCCCAGCTGCCAGCCTGGTCCTCCCTGGGGCGGGGCGGGGAGTGGGGGCTGGAGAGGCCAGGGAGCAGCCGGCTGGCTGGCTGACTGGGTGGGGACTCTGGCTTGGCGGCTGTGCTGCCAGGACAATAGCTGGCTGGGGAAGTCAGGCTCCGGCCTTTCTGAGATGCTCAAGAGAGGCATGAGTGGAGGTGGGGAGAGAGAGCCAAGAGGCTGCTGAGAGAGCAACTCACATGGGCTACAAGTGCAGAGGAGGCAGGGCGGAGGGGATGCTAGGGTCTGGGTGGGGACAAAGGTCCGGTGAAAGTTTCTCAAAAGCTTTGGGTTAGGAAGCATGCTTAGGGCCTGGAGAGGTGGGATTCACAAACTGATTTAGAATGGGATTCTATGGGCATTTTCTCTGCAAGGCCTGGAGGTTGGCTGAGGGGGTGGGGGTGGAAAAGGAGAGCTACCCAACTCTGAACAACCCCTCTCAGGATATCTCCTGTGCCATCCCCACTTTCTCCGGGCCAGCAGAAAGGCAGGAATCCATACTTAAAGCTCTGTCCCAGGATAGCAGAATAGGAAGGGAAGGAGAACATCTGGTAGGCAGAGCTATGAAGACAAGGAAAAAAAATATTTGTTTCAAATATGATTAAATCGGGACCAAATGATGCTTCCATGGCTCCCCTAAGTTACAGCATTCAAGAATTCCAATTTTCTTGACGTAAGAAATTGTATTTTATTTCCTTTCTTCCTTCACCCGTTGGTTCCCTCATTTATGACAAATGGCTTTATGTTAGGCCCATTGCTGGGCACTAATGGTACTGCGTGACTCAGACCTGCACCCTGCCCTTAGGAAATGCAGGCTCTGCTACCAGACTGTGGGCCTGGAACCCACTTGCATCTTAAAAAGTAGCTGGACATGGTGGTGTGTGCCTGTAGTCCCAGCTACTTGGGAGGCTGGGCTGGGAGTATCACCTGAGCCCAGGAGGCTGCAGTGATCTGTGTTCTCACCACTGCACTCCAGCCTGGGAAACAGAGCAAGACTGTCTTAAAAAAACCAAAACCAAAAAAAAAAAAAAACAAAAAAAACGCAAAACAGGCCGGGCACAGTGGCTCATGCCTGTAATCCCAGCACTTTGGGAGGTCAAGGCAGGTGGATTGCTTAAGCATGGCTAACGTGGCAAAACCTCGTCTCTACTAAAAGTGCCTGTGGTCCCAGCTACTCCAGAGGCTGAGGTAGGAGGATTGCTTAAGACCCAAAGGTTGCAGTGAGCCGAGATCACACCACTGCACTCCAGCCTGGGCGAAGGGTGAGACTCTGTCTCAAAAAGAAAAGAAAAAAGGCAAAATAATAAGGCTTCCAAAATACGATATAACAGAATATCTTTATAATCTTGGGGTAAGGAAAGCCAAGAAGTAATTACCATAAAGGAAAGGAGTCATACATTGAACAGCATTAAAATTTAAAACTTCTGCTCATCAAAAGATATCATTAAAATAATGAAAAAGTAAGTCATGGAATTAGAGAAAATATTTGCAAAGTATGTATCCAATAAAAGGCTCATGTCCAGAATATACAAAGAACTTATACCAACCAGTAAGAAAAAGACAGATAACCTAATAGAATAACAGGCAAGACACTTGAACAGGGACCTTACAAAAGAGGATATCCAACTGGCGAAAAACTTAGGAAAATGTGCTCAACCTCATGGTAGTCAAGAAAATACAAAATGAAACCATATTCACTAGATTGACTAAAAAGAAAAAGACAATACCGAATATTGGTGAGAATGTGGAGCGATTAGAGACAGAGTCTTGCTCTGTCACCCAGGGTGGAGTGCAGAGGTGCCATCTGGTCTCACTGCAACCTCCATCTCCCAGGTTCAAGCATTTCTCCTGCCTCAGCCTCTTAAGTAGCTGGGAATACAGGCATCCACCACCATGCTCAGCTAATTTTTGTATTTTTAGTAGGGGCGGGGTTTCACCATGTTGACCAGGCTGGCCTCAAACTCCTGACCTCAGGTGATCTGCCCACCTTGACCTCCCAAAGTGCTGGGATTATAGATGTGAGCCACTGCACCCAGCTAAAGAGACTTTCTAGAGTGCTGGGAATGTTCTGGGTCTTGATTTTGGAGCTGATTCCTCGAGTGGTTTAGTAACAGTTCATTGTGAGTGTGCATTTATGTCTCGAGTGCTTTTATTTTATTTTATTTTATTTTTATTTTTATTTTTTTTGAGACGGAGTTTCACTCTTGATACCCAGGCTGGAGTGCAATGGCACCATCTCGGCTCACCGCAACCTCTGCCTCCTGGGTTCAGGCAATTCTCCTGCCTCAGCCTCCTGAGTAGTTGGGATTACAGGCACATGCCACCATGCCCAGCTAATTTTTTGTATTTTTAGTAGAGACGGGGTTTCATCATGTTGACCAGGATGGTCTCGATCTCTTGACCTTGTGATCCACCCGCCTTGGCCTCCCAAAGTGCTGGGGTTACAGGCTTGAGCCACCGCGCCCGGCCTATTTTTTTCTTTTTATTGAGACAGAGTCCCACTATGTGGCTCAAGCTGGTCTCCTGAGGAGGGGATTTCAGCTCCCCGACCCTCCGGTTACCACCCCCTTTCTCCCTTATTTGGGTTTTTCCAGAAGAGTCATGGATGTGTCACCCTGGCTGGGATTCTGGCCGTTTTCTCTACCTTATTTTAGATTTTCTATTATCTCATGGTTTCTTTGCCTAGTTCTTGTTTTAGCAGTTGTTTAGTTTTTTCATCCTCCTGTAACCACCCAGTGTTCTTTCTATTTCATTCACCCTTCAGACACGTCCATCCCTTATTCTTAAGGGTTGATGAGGGAGGAGGCCAGTCATTTGTATCTTCTTCTTGCTGATTTAAGGGTGCTGGCTTTGCCAGTCCAGGGATTGGAAATCTCCAACTGCCTGGTCTAAGGCTCCCCAAGTGCATCAGCAGGAGAGTCTGATTCTGAGACAAGAATTGGCTGGAATCCTTGCATGATCATCATGTTTACATGGAATTTCTGTAACCTGGAAGATATACACTTTGACCGGGTCTAAAGATGAGGCTTTGGTTAGCTTGAGTTTGGTGTCAGATACTGGCAGGAGTCAGTGCCTTCTTTAGATGAGGTACGTGTACCCAGGTGTCAAAGCCCTGTAAAGTTCTGCATGGCTGGGGAAGCCTCAGGAAACTTACAATGATGGTGGAAGGTGAAGGGGAAGCAAGGACCTTCTTCACATGGTGGCAAGAGAGAGAGAGAATGAGTACTTTCCTTTTGTGTTATGCTACTTCAATACAAAGTTTTTAAAAATGAAAAAGTGAAATAGGCAATCAGATTGTTTCATCACAGTGTGAAGCAAAGGTGAGAACTGAGAGGCGTGGGAGGTCAAAAATGTGAGGGGCGGGGTGGGAAGAGGTGTTGACACCTATGGTCAGTGTGGAAGAAATGGAAGTGAGTCAAAAGTTTAAAAGGCAGCATAGTGCAGTCGCTCAGAGCACTGACTAGGGAACCACACTGCTTGGGTTTGAACCCATGCCTCTTACCCTCAAGTTCCTTATCTGTTAAGTGGGATGATAATAGTACTTACAATAAGGCTGTGAGGATAAATGAGGCAATATCTGTGAAGTGTTCAGAACAGCGTCAAGGCATAATCAGCACGATGTACCTCTTTATTCCATTTAAAAAGGTGACTAGGTGAGTGAAACAGCCTGTACAAAGGGTTGCGGCGGGAGGGGGGGGGCGGATCCCAGAGAGTAGTGTGTTTGGAGCTGCTGGAAGCAATGTGGTGTGGCCTGATAGACAATCAGAAAGCAGGAATGAGACCCTGAATGCCATCACTGTTTCTCGCCATCACCAACAACAGAACAATCCTTTCTCTTGACAGCCTCGGAATGTCATGAGTGAAGGCTGAGTGAAGGCTAACTGATGGCAAAATAAGATAGTAAGATCCAGGTGAAGATCGCTCTTTTGAGATGAAGTTAGCCGTCACTCATGACCTTCCAAGGCCGTCATGAGAAAGGATTGTTCTGTTGTTGGCGATGGCGAGGAGTGACAGGCAAGGAATGCCTTGCAAAGGAGGGTGGGAGGGGCCAGTTGGACTGACCCCCCCCCCCCCCCGCCCGCGCTCTGAAGCAGCTTTCCTCCCTTTGCAGAGGGCTCTCCAGAAAGGCCTGTCTTTATGAGATGAGCACACAGAAATCATCAGGCAGAGTTGTAGGGAGAGAAGACAGGGGGGAACAGTAGGAGAAACTGAGTTATGTACTTGTAGCCACAGTTCCCTTTTGGAATCAACTCCAACACTCCAGGAACAAAAGAGCCCTAGTTCCTTTCTGCCTGTGTCCCTCTGTTTATCACCCT